ACTTTGGTATAAGAAAAGGCTTGATGAATTAATAGAATGAGATTAGTGGAGCGGGTGTCACGAACCGACACGTAGAATTAGGGAATTGGGTATCACGAATCGACACGTAGAATTAGGAGATCAGGTGTCACGAACCGACACGTAGAATTAGGAGATCGGGTGTCACGAACTGACACGTAGAATTAGGGGATCGGGTGTCACGAATCGACACGTAGAATTAGGAGATCGGGTGTCACGAACTGACACGTAGAATTAAGGGATCAGAGTGTCACGTTCTGGCACATAGTAGTAGGGGAGCGGAGTGTCACGTACCGACACAAGAGGAATAAAGATAATGAATCTTGAAATTATGTTAATAAATTCGAATGAAAAGAACCTATATCCCAAATGAGTATGTTGTGGAGACTTGAGTTCTCATAGGTGTGTTTGATGTGGTTACACATGATTTGTGAACTTGTTGCTTTCACCTGTTGAGGAATATGGTTGATTTTATGATATTATCTGATATATATAGTGTTTTCTATTTTGAGTTGGCCAATGATATCTACTCAGTACTTGTGTTTGTACTGACCCCTACTTGTATGTTTCTTTCTTTGTTATTGTGGAGTGCAGCAAACGTACCGTCGTCTTCAATTCAACCGCAACTCTAGCCAGTCTTCATTATACCGGATTTCAGGGTGAGCTAACGCTTCTAGCTTGGACTGGATCTTCTTCTTCATGTCTTGATGCCTTAAAGTTCCGGCATGGACTAGCTTTTTAGTTATTCTAGCTTTCTAGATACTCTTAGAATTAGTAACTTGAGGATAGATGTTCTTGTGATGATGACTTCCAGATTTTGGGGATAATAATAAGTGTTTGAGTTTGAGAAGTTGATTATTGATTTTGTTAACGAGTTTTAAGCCTTCCGCATTGTTTTCTATTTATTATGTTTGAAATGTTGAGGTTTAGATTGGTTGGTTCGCTCACATAGGAGGATAAATGTGGGTGCCACTCACGACACGTTTTGGGTCGTGACAGTAATTAACATTAATTAAATAGAAAATAACTTTTATGAATTGTTGTAATGTAGTTGAATTAATATAGGAGGTTATTTTTGAGTCTGGATGGTGTTAAGAGTGCGTTACATATCTGATTCATTCAGATATTTTTAGACCAATTAAGAGACTTATAAGAAAATAAAATAAACAAACTTAATGAACTGAATCTGAATAATTAAGATTCAGTCATAAAAAACAAACACACTTAATGAGGCGAATCTGAATGATTGATATTTAGACCCTCATTAAGTGCAAACAAATGAGACCTTAGTGTGAGCCTATTCAGAGATAATTTAAATTTTCTCTTTTAAATTAAGAGAAAATTTTAGAAAAAACAAACATAATAGACATAATAAGATTTTATAATAATAGTTTCTATAATTGCGCTTCATAGCTGTAGTTTTATTTGCTACGGATGCTTTGTATACTTCGCTTATGAATATACAAATAAGATAAGTATATGTATATACATATTCTATATTTATACATTTAAGAATTTCTCAGAACTCCGTTTATATATTTCGCTTGTCAATATACAGACAAAATACTTTATTATGATTTTTTTAATACTCATATACAAATAGTTATGATAAGCATATACAAAATTGATAATTTATACAATGATGAACTGAATTAAACAAATTTTGAATTTATACAAATCAAGCGAATAGAAAAAACTGAAAAATCGTAAATGCAAATTACAATTTTCTTAAACTATAGCCATTAACACCTAATACATGCTAAATGTTTGTTGTTCGACATAATTTTTTATATTTATCTATTGTTAAATAAAAAAAAGCATTTTCAATTATATCTTTCAACATACAATAACTTTTTTAGCTTTACAAAATAAGAATAAAATATATATATATACTTAATTTTTTTTGAACTTTACCTATAAAATTACTTTAAATATGTTATTGTTATTTTGTATCTTAATACAAATGTTTGAGAAAGAGAGATTTTGGTTCAGGTTGAGATTTTAAGTACCAATTTAGTAATTAATTAGGCATACTAAGAATATAATTCTAATCTTGAATAATTGATTTTTTATTTTATTTTCACCTTGTATGTTTAGTATTTAGATTGAAGTTTTGACTAATTTAAATTCGTGACATGAGTCTCATTGAAGAGGAAACACGCTTAATAAGATTTGTTATCATAGTGAAAGCTCAAACTTGCTATCTCTGATTAACAATGGATAGATCTTGTTCAATATCTCATCACACAATAATGTAATAACTATATATAAATAAAAAGATAACTAATTAAACATGCTTCATTGAAATTTTTTACCTACATATATCTAATAGCACTTTTTATTAATATACTATATTAAATTTTAAATATTTTTAGTGAAATTTTTAATTTCGTCATTGCTTCGCAACTCTTTTTTAGTGAAAGGCATATAACTTTAAAGAAAAATTTACCTACATAAGTCAACTTTTATTTTTTTCTAACACAATAACAAAATAAAAGTTTCTTTCAACATTGGATTTGTATACTGTGGGAGTACCCAATGATTTTGGCACGACATGTCACATGAATTTATTTTGTTTTTAGTAGCATTTGTTCTAGTTGATTTGTCTTAATATTGAAAAAAGAATCCTATATATTCTTTCGATTGAATGAGTGAATAGTTCATAAAGTTAGTACATAAATAACATTCATATTCATTAGGTTTTATGATTTTTTTTTGAATAAAAATGTATCTATTTATTATGATACTTAATATGGTAACTTTTAGATTGATTTCTAAACCTATAAATATGGTTGTTTATTGACTATTGTATGATATATATATGAGACTTACATATACATGAATAAGAAGAAACTTGATCTTCTTCTATCTACTTCTCTTGTCTTTTTCTCTTTATGATTATATTCTTATGAGCTCAATTTTGTAACACGTTATCAGCACGAATATGCTCTAAAAATTGTAGCACTTTGCAAGTTGAAACACTTGTGAGCGGAAACAAGTTTTATTTATTTTTTCTTGTTACAGATTTATATTTTCAACAGTTCCTCTTATACTAATAATTTATTTTAGTGTATATGTATTATATGAAAACATTAAACATATTGGTTTGTTTTATTTTAACAATTTTATGCATTGGTTTATGATTATACTAAC